TAGTACGAATCCAATTTGTGGAAAATGGCTCTTAAGTAAAACTCACAACCGTCGGAAGGTTAAAGGCAGATAGAAAAACAAACCAACACGAGATATAGACAGCCAGATATATGATCTTTAAGGAAATTATGGTGAATCCTAATTAGTAAAGGCTATATTTCTCACCATCAAAAATTATAAACATTCCGAATGTTTATCAGTTAGAGGCCAATTAAGATATAACGCTAAAGGCAATATATCAGCAAAGATGCTGATTTCGTACTAAAGAAGGAAATTTAAAGGTTTTATTGAGTAAAGTAATCATGATAACTACTATGGCAGACGACTTCGGACTAGGTGCGCTCTACTAAGTCGCCCTGACAGCAAGACCAAGTTGCGACGAGGTCAACCCATTTCAAAAAATACGAAGTTTATTCAATTGAAACGCATTACTATCAAAAGACAGATTTACGTTTTTGAGATTCCATCTTTAACATCCATTCTTTACTGATTCTATACAATAAATAAAATATTTCTAATTACAAGTATTCACTTTATAGAAGATCATACCAGAAGCCACACCATCTTGGTCTTCATATCTTCAAGTATATACTTTAGTTAATTTGATGGATCTTAAAATGAGAAACAAGCATAGGCAGACCATTCTTTTAAACAAGGATACAAAGACTAAGATGTTGTGGCTTCTATTTTGGTCAGTCTTCTTTCGATTTAGAGAAGTGGTCTGATCTTATTTTCGTAACTTGGTCGTGTTATGAGGAAGACTTAGTTGGACGCACCTTGTCCTCTGCTATAGTAATTATAATTCAAGGCGTCGAACCACGGACTTGGTACATTCTCAGACGTTTCTATTTGACTTGGTGCTGAGAATAGCAAGACTTACGTAAAATACCGAAGAAATTTCCGACACTGGGAATTATGATAACTACTTTAACAGAGGACTTCGGACAAGGTGCATCCAACTAAGTCCCTCTGACAGCATGACCACATATACACCCGTCGTATTATGAAACGATGAAAATTTGAGAATTTACGCGATGGAATTCAGCAAATATGAAAAGGCAAAAGGCAATAAGATTAATGGCAAAAAACTGATCGCTTTTGATGACAAGTTGAGATCATTTTCAGTGCTCATGGATTGATATATGGCTATAGTAACGGAAGCGCAAGGAAGAGAGCACATGTGAAGCCAGTAACTCCTCTCGGCGAAATACAGTAGCAATATCATCATTAGCACAATAATTAATAGCAAAGGTTAAAACTAGATAACGGCCACGTTTAAATGAGACAAGCTTCAGGGCATTGATTGACAAACGAATAAGCCCATGTTAGCCCGCATGTACACAGACACAACCAGATTATCAGGAAAAGCACGGACAGAGTGGACACAAAAGCTCGGCATCCAGCCAAAACACACATGCAAATAGTCATCAAACAAGTGGGCCTAGAGCAATCTCTCATCAGCGTTGAGTAAATGCGAGCAGAAATGTTATCGATGCAAGCAGAACTCGAGTGCAACTTGACGAGACTTGTATTTGAAGATAAATAGGCAATGCGTCGGAAAGATATATGGTGCACACATACACTGAAGCACTGACAAACGTATACAAAGTCATGGAGATAAATCTTTACAGAAAGTGGGGTTTGAGTCAGCAACGTAAAGTTTCGCCCTAATTGAGAGTAGGTTAGCTAAAAAAGTACAGATCTTAGAGCCAAAACTAGCCAGCCAATGAGATGACGTTAAAAAACCCCAGTGTCAGAGGCCAGGAACAGCCCAGATAGAAGTTTGAAATCGATCAACAAATATGGAGCCACCTGTAGCCTGAGAACTGAGCTAAGTAGCTTGGACAAAAGTGAAGGCTAGACAAACGAGTTGATCTCAATCGAAACTATGAAAACCAAGATAATGTGGCCGCTGCTAGGTCACCATCTGCTTTAGCTGTATGGAAGAGTTTTTTCCTCGTTTCAACAACTTGGTCGTGTTGTCAGGGCGAACTAATTGGACGAACTTTGTCCGAAGTCTTCTGCTATGGTAGTTACGAAAATTCTGAGTATCTGACCGCGAACCTGGTACATTCCAAGACATTTAGTATTCCCCTATCGCCACGAGAATAGAGTAGGGATAGAGTACCGGGACAAAAGTGATAGCACAACCGTTCGGTAGAAAGTTAATCAAAGGATTGACTTCACTTGTCTCACTGGTAATGCCGGAGAAATATCAGGAAATATGCCAAGTCCATGGTCCAACGATGGGAATTGTCATAAATACTAAAACAGAGGGCTTCATACAAAGGGCGTCCAAATCGGTCCTCCTGATGGTACGACCATGTTAGGAAAATGAGGATAAACCTCTTCTTTACAACCAAAGAGTACTGCGACCAAAGTATAAGCCATCGCATCTTGGGCTTTACACCTTCCCATGTAGTTTTCTTTCCTAATAACCTTTCTGCGTTTGTAGGCAATATAAGCGATGAGCTCACTCCAAACTTCAAGTGATTCGAAGTTTGAACACACCGGAATGCGATGATGGATTCCTCTTTGTCAGGTGTCTGATGAATTTACTCGAACATTTTAATTGACGCTACCCTCGAGACAATCTTCATTGATTTCGGCGTAGACGTTCTAAGCTTTCGCATGTGACACAACAGGAATCCTTCTTACAACCAATACAAGCTGTTTTATTGATGACTGGTTAGCTTGAATTGGTTGCAAGAATGATAACTGATAATTGGTGAGGAGAAATCTGCCATCCTCATCTGGTGGGATCGACCTTCGAATCTCTTCATCGCATACTTTTACTGTCAATAGAAGTGAGCCTAACAGTTGTAAACCAAGAGACTTTAAGAAGCCCAAGTTTCCTTCGAATGTAGAAAATACAGTTTCGATGAGAAAAGCAAGAGATAGGGATGCTGTGAAGAGTTAATTTAGTAAAATACGGTGGCTGCCTCCCATTTTTGCACCAGTAAGCCTGGATGGGCATTCCTAAACTTGCTCGGCTACTATTTATTTCTCTTGCCTAATAGTTATTGTCCACATGCACTTACATTTTCTCCAGTTTTGGGTATTTGTGTCTTCCATGAATGCGTAGCTTCACCGAATTTCTCCTTGAGAATTTCAGTTGTGTGCTGAACTGAGAAAGCCTGAAAGGTGTGATGACTATTGCCTGACCCAGTAGTTTGCCCTCTACTGGCTTTTCTGCCTAGCCTTGAATTACTGACAACTCCGAGCCCAGAAGATACTGGTTGGGGCGGCTGAATTGTTCGGTTTCCTCCTACTTCTTCAATCGACTGGCTTCCTCTCGTTTGGGAAGTATACTCTCCCCCAGTTGACTGATTGAAAGGTATTGCACGTGATTCAAAGATGCCAATCTGGGAAATAACTCGCCCTGCAAGAAAAGGTAGATCTGCGAGATCACTGGTATTAGATCGCGAAATTGTCGCCTGTCCAGAAGGTTCTTTCTGGACTGTAGTTTGCTGTTGTGGTCGATTTAGCTGCTGATTCTGTGGCATGTGGTGACTACGCGTAGACTTATCAGGAGAGACAGACGAGGACGTAGCAGTAAGTCCAACAGCATTTAAGCCTCGATCAGCTATAACTGAAAGAGCTGACTGTCTATAGATGATAGATAACAAGGGTAAAATAATAACATGCAGCAAATGTAGAAAAATATACCTAGATGAAGAAAGGCTAAATAAATAATAAGTAGAAATAAGATAGTGTGGTTATGATTTAGTCTCAGTCTCCCTTTAAAGTAAATATAGCCGATTTTGCTTCATTTTAGCAAAAGTAGTGTTCCTAGATAGATTCAGATAAGTTACTGCGTATTGCATCCGTTGACAATTTAAGTCAATCATTGGTAAATTTTCTGTTGAACTGTTATGGCACTTCTTCTCTCTGGCTTTATACACTTCATAGCTCAGCGACGCAGCCTCAATCTTTACACAATTTACATGGCCGTCTCCTCTCTATCTTAAGCTGTAACCTCATTTGTCACTTTGAACGTACTCACTTCCACCGATGATTCCTCATCCTCATTCTGGGCTTACCGATCCAAAATGTTAACTATATTTGTCAATCCACATTCCTTCATTTCTATCAGCTTGTTCCTTCTGCATCAAACAATCCATTTCTTATCTAGCTGCTTACCTCCAACTTCGGCCACCATGTCGGTGA